CTGCCCATCTGGCGCGATTGTGAACACGGCATCGTGCAGCGTTTCGGCGCACACCGACGTTGGTGTATTCACGAGATAGGCTCGTGCTCTTCCTGCACGGCGGGAATGGGCTCTACTTCGCGGCGCGCGTCGTCACAAACACTGCGGAGGCGGAATACGCGCTGCGGATGGAGAAAAAAGCTGCCAAGCAGTGATTTGCCTCGCGGTGTAACACCCGTGCTGCGCAGCGGCTGCCCGGCGCTGGTGCCTGCGCAGCGGGTTCCATTATTTGTGTGTGTGTGTGTGTGTGTGTGTGTGTGTGTGTGTGTGTGTGTGTGTGTGTGTGTGTGTGTTTTTGTGTGCTGTGCTGCCCCCTGCACGCGATATCTATTTTTTGAGAGGTCGGCGCTACACACGGCTTTACGTCAGTACCTCTGTATAGCTCCCTCTGTGAGTGTGTGTGCACAGTGTGTGGAGAATCAACATCCGAGTAGAAAGGCTGTGCTGTGTAGTAACCCCGCCTACACACGTCATGTTCCTGTCGCGAGACACTCTGCTCCCCACAGAGCCCAGTCGCAGTCCCCACGAGTGCCGACATGCTCCGATGCTCACTCACACTCGTGTTGTTCCGGAGCCTCCTCCACACAGTCCACACCGAGCTCTCTCGTCCGACTCCGATCTCCGTCGGGCTCGGGGGTCGGACTCGAGAGAGCCGTAACGACGCGTAATCTCCCAACTCTCACTTACCTCTCAGACTGAGACTCACACAGAATCCTATAGCTTCTACCAACGCGCGTATGCTTGTGCGGAGAAGGCCTCTTGGACTCAGGCCCTCGTCCGTGCGAGATCTTTCGCTGGTAACGAGCGTAGCGCCACCCGCCCCGGCCCTGGCGGTGTTGTGGCCCGCAACCTGGCCCGACGCCAATGTCCCTGCTAAGGCAGGTCGGGCAAATCGTCGAGCGATAGCAGCCTCTGCCGTGGCCGCTCCTCAACCTCGTCGACATCATCATCGCCCCCGATGGTCGAGCCTTCGGCATCGCTCTCTTCGTCAATACCTACGAATCGACCAGTGCCATTCTCAGTACGCTGCCGTTCCTGCTCGCTCCTCTTGCTTGGCAGTGCCGGAAGGGCTCGACGCGCTGCCTATCCCTCCAGCTGCGTCGCCGACGGTGCGCCATCTCTGGGCGCCTTCCGCGGCACCAACCGTCCCGCCGCTGGGGCCGATCGACGGGAAAGGCTGCGGCGTCAGCGTCGGCGGCGCTGGCGGCGCACGATGCGCCCGCCGTCCAGCAGGCCCAGCCAGCTTCTCGACGAGAGCGGCAGAATGGGACGGCGGTGGGTGATCGACGTGAGGGTCTGTCCCCGTACCCTCGGAGGCAAAAGAGCGAGCGGAATCTTGCCCCAGGGCGTGTCCGCTCAAGGTTGGGCGTGTGCTGGCGAGGGACAGATACGTCGAGGAGGGCGTGACCGGCTCCGGCGTGTGGACACCAGTGGCGAGGCTTCGAGTCGATGTGGTAGGTTGTTGCGGCGGAACCGCGCATGTGCCGGAGGCCGCCTCGAAAAAGACGGTCTGCACGCGCGCCGAGAGGCCTTGCAATGAAGCGTCGAAGCGCGCCTGCGATGCCACGAGGGCTTGCCGCGCCTCAAGCAGCTCTTGCGACAAGCTCTGCCGATCGGCGCGTGTCTCGGAGAGTGCGTCGCGCGTGGCCGACATCTCCTTCTCCGCCACGGCCCGTGCGCGCTCCGCGTCAGCTTCGACCGCCTTGCGCGCCGCAGCCTCCGCCTCTGCACGGGCCTGGGCTCTTGCAAGCTCCACGCGTCGCCCCTCCGCCTCGGCCATCGCCGCCGCGGCCGTCTCCTCCGACTGGCTGAGTTTTACACGCATCCGTTCCAGATCGGTCGCCTGTGCCGCCGCCTCGTCCTCTAGCCGTTTGGAAAGGGCGTTGGCGCGTGCCTGAGGCACGGACGCCGCTCGCCGCTCGCGCTCTCTCGTCTCCTCCTCAGCCTGCGCTCGCCTCGCCTCGGCTTGGTCCCGCGCCCGCTGTGCCGCATCGAGGGCCTCGTCGCGCTCGATCTCGGCACGAGCCACGCGCGCCTCCATCCGACGCCGCTCCGCAGCAAGCGCCTCGAGGGCCTCTGTGTGTGTTGAGGCCTGCCTCTCGAGGGCAGCTGCCTGCGCCTCGGAGCTGGCGACCCGGCTGTTTGCCGCCGTCGTTTCCGCGCTCGCGACCCTTTGCTGCAGAGCAGCAAGCATCTCAGCATGCTCGCGCCGCTCGGCTGCACGCGCCTCTTGCGCCTTTGCGAGCTCTGCATGGGCAGCAGCGGCGCGCTCCTCTGCCGCAGCCGCGCGGGCCTCACGCTCCCCCAGCGCTCGAGTCTCGCTGAGCATTGCCGCGTCCTTTGCCTCGATGGCTCTTTCGGCGGCGGCAAGTGCGGCCTCCACGCAGAGCTTCTCCTTCTCCGCGTGACGCATGGCTCTCTGTGCGGCCTCCACCTCCGCCGCCGCAGCACGCCGCCCCTCCTCGAGCGCACGTGCCGCAGAGGCCGCCTCAGCGTCGTGCTTGGCGACCGATGTCTTCGCAGCCTCGAGCTGCGCAACGAGGCCTTCTGCTCGCGCCGCCTCCTCGTTTGCGCGCGCTTCGGCATCCTCGATGCGGCCCTGAACGTGGGACAGCTTGTTGGTGAACTCGCTTTGCTGTAGAGTCAATGCGCCTTCGAGAGCCCTCGTTCGCACGGCAAGCCTGCGGCCACCAGCCACGGGATCTGCACCAAGAGCCTGATCGCTGCAGCCCGTCAGTGTTAGATAATTCGTCGTTTCAGTTGCGTCGGCACCATTGCGGCCGAGCAACGTTGTAATACGCTGGAGCACGCCTCCTGGCACGCGATTGCCCTCGAGTGGCAGGTGCATGATCTTCCGATTGGCTCGGAGCGCTGACTCGAGTGCCTCACCCCCTTCCTTTGCAGCGCTATTCCAACGAAGGTCAAGGCTCACAAGTGTCACGTTGTGCACCAGAGCCTCGGCCAGGTGCTTCACGCCCCGAGGACCAATTCGATTGTTGCGGAGGTCCAGGCTCGTCAATGCGGAATGGGCGGCTTGCAGTGCGACAGCGAGCGAGCGCGGGCCTGCGTCGTCTGTGCCAATGCCATTCCACTCGAGCGAAAGCACGCGCAGCTTGGACCGACCGTGCAAAAGAAGCTCGCCGACTGCAGCCGCGCCCGGTGCGTGAATGTGGCAGCCTCGGAGGTTCAGAGAGGTGAGCGATGAAGTGGTCGCTAGACGCGAGCAAAGGCTCCGAACCCCGTCATCACCGAGGCATTTGTCGGAGTACGATGCGCTCGTGCTGTCTGATTCAAGCTTGTGGGCTGCCGTGTCGGGCACAGTAGCAATGTGAGCCGGCTCTATGTCAGCCGCCACCATTGCGCTCACCCAACGTCTTGGTCGCTCGCTCTCGAGACGTTTCATAGATCACCGACCGAGGTCTTAACCCTGGTAGGTGGATTGTCCAAAATACGTCAGCCTCGCACGCCTAGCGCTAGGTCTGACACCCGGCCGCCCCCCCCTCTCTAATATTAACCGGTCAGAGTACATTTTGGCCGGCTAATGTTAGGGAGGGGAGGCCGAAAAACGCATACTTTTTTGTCCACCTACCAGGGTTAACGTGGAGCTGGTTCTCCACTCGGAGCGTGGAAAGTGACTGCGGTGTGAGCTGTCACTGTGACAGTGTGCGCCACAGTATATTACTCTCAATACACAATATAGTCATGGCTCATGTAGAAGCAGCTTGATCATAAACATGTGAAAACGTGCTCAACGTCGTGCGAGGTTTCCCAGGCCGCACTTGTGCACTAGCTGGGCACATGCCGCATGCAACATATCATGACTCAAAGTCATGACTACTCGAGCGGCTACGCTCCCGGACACGTCCATCATCAAAGCTCTTGGACGTGGTTGCTCGTAGATCGACAGCCAAGAGATCAGAAGTACAGTGAAGCTTTCAACTGACTTGCTTAGTGGCAGGGGTTCCAGAATTTCTCGAACGACGGCCACGACCACCCACCGGTCTCCTGAGCGTCTTTGCCCATGTCCTTCATCTTGTCACCCAAGGCCTTCCAGTCGGTATCGCCCATCTGCTTGCCCTTTGACTTCCAGTCATCGCCGATTGCCTGTCCCATCCGCTTCCACTCCTTCTGCTCGTCGCTCTTCTCCTCCTCCTCGCTCTCGTCTTTGTCGGTCTCGTCTTCGTCTGCATCGTCCTTGTCATCGCCCGGCTTGCCTCCCTGAACCGTCAGCAACGACATTTCCTTGGCCGACGCCCAGCCGACCATCTCTTGCGCCTCCTTGGCCGCCTTCTCGGCAGCATGCATCGCCTCTGCCGGGCTCTTCCCCTCTTGCATGGCCTTGATCGCCGATGTGGCCGCAGCCTTGGCCGCCTCGGGCGAGCGCGACGCCGCGTGAGCGGCGTCGACAAACGGCTTGGTGTCCGGCATCTTGGATGGGTCGGCCGCGAGCAGAAGGCTCTTTGCGCCCGCGTCCTCTTGTGCCTTCTCGGCCGCCTTCTCCGCCGCTCGCATGGCCTCCGCAGGACTCTTACCCTCCTGCATCGCCTTTACCGCCGAAGCAAAGCCAGCCTTGGCAGCCTCGGGCGAGACGGACGCGGCATGGGCAGCGTCGACGAAGGGTTTCGGCGATTCAGCCACTGCGAGAGTTGGGGAGGCGTGCGCGCCGATCAGCGCAAGCGCGCAGGTGGCTGCCAGCAGCGCGGCGCCCGCGACGAGCAGCCTGTGGAAGTAGCCGGGCGGCTCAGTGCGCACATGACATTGGGGTGGAATGAAGCTGTGCAGGAGCGCAGGGCCCCTGCACAGCGGGCAGGCGCGCAGCGTTCGCTGGAGGGGTCAGGCACGCCTTTTTGTGTTTGGTCGCTTGAACCACGGCTCCTCGGGTCCACTCTCCCCGAGGAGCGGCGAGGCCTTGCCCGACAAAGCGACGAACGGCGTGGACTTCGTTGGCAGCATGCGGCGCAATGAGGTTTCTTCGCGTCTCGTCAGATGCACCGGAACCGGCGGGCGCCTTTCTCCCCCCGGGATGCGCGACTTCTTCGGGCCGACTGTGGACGCCGCGGCGTCGCGACGTCCACTGGGCCGACGGCTGGACCGCCGTCACCAAGGACGGCAAGCCGAGCGCGCAGTTCGAGCACCAGCTGCTGATGCACGAGTCGGGCGCAGAGATACTGACCGCGCGCTTGCCCTTTGCCAAACTCGCCGCCGCTCTGGTGGGAGGAGGGCGCGCAACCAGGGGCCACGGCGCCCGTATTGTAGCAGACGCTGTTTCAGACGACATCGGCACCCCTTTCAACAGCTCCTTTGGGACCTCATGGGACCTTAGGCACCTTTTCAGCTTCGCTCCGCCATGTAACGATCCTGAACCCTGGCTCGCTGTCCATGCACCATGGTCAGTCAGTCAGTCAGTCACAAGTTCAGTCACAATTCGTAGCACCGAGGACGGGCCCACACGCACACACACGCTGCACACGGTTGCAGCGGAACCCGGTTGGCTTCGGGAGCCGACACGAGGCACGCTGTCACCGGCGTATCACTGGGTCCGGACTGCTGGACGCACAGCTCACAGCTCACAGGACAGCTCACGAGGTGGCGCTACATAGTGGGGCTCGCGGCCTTTTTCAGAAAAATAGAGAAACGCGTCATCCGAACCGTGTGGGCGCCGACGCGTTGGCCGAGTAGCACGCGCGTTGCTTGGGCTTCGCCTCGTGCACCAAGCTGCCTAGCTGACGCTCAAACATGTCGCCTGTGAAACGCTCTGCTGCTGCTCGTGCCTGGCCGCTCATCGCTTCCATCTCCGCCTCTGGCAGCGACAGCACCTGCAGCGTCGCCGTGGGGACGTCCTCCAGCGTGGACGCCACCCGACCGACAGCGCTGCTCGGCACTTGCTCGGGCAGCCCGCCCACGTTCAGCAGCACCGGGATGCAGCCGGCCGACATCGCCTCCGCCACGGCGATACCAAAGTGCTCGGTGTCGGCTGGGTTGGTCATCTGCTTCAACTGGCCGAAACCAGTCAGCGACCAGATGACGCGCGCGCCCTCCACGAGCGCCTCGAGCCGTCTCCGCGGCGCGTCAAAGACAAAGTGGACGCCCGTCAGGCCTAGGCGCGTCACCAACTCAGGGAGTCCCCTCGCGTAGTGTTCCTTGCCCGTGATGACAGCCCCGACAATATAGAGCTCGAGCTGCGCGTGCCAAGCGTGCCCGTCTCGCCGCGCAAGGGTCTGCAGCTCCGAAAACAGGCGCACCGCCTCATAGTGCCCCTTCGACTGGACGCCTCCGAAAATGCGGCCGACGATGACGATGCGAAAAGGCCTCCTGCTGAAAGCTCCGAAGAGAGGCGTCCTCGGCTCTGCGGCGGGGACAGGAGGGTACAGGAGCACCGGCGTGGGCGCACACGGCTTGCGCAGCTGCGACCGTAGGACGACGCTATACCAATCCATGGTGAAGTTGGAATTAAGCAGGACGTGGTCGTACGTCGCCAGATTGCGCTCCTCAAAGGGGTACATGTCTCGGTACCAGTCGAAGGGAAACTGACACATGTACAAGTTGAGGCGGCCCAGCCCAGGCGTTCGTGGCGCCCGGTCGTTGCCGAGGAAGAAGAAGATGTCAAAGTCGCGGCGAATGAGCCTCTCTGCGGAGCCGTGCAGCCCCCGGACCGGCCGCTTCGGGTGTCGCTGCACGTTCAGAGACGCAACCTTGATGGCGTCCACATCCAGGTTGCGCAGACCGAGCATGAAGGCGGTGCGGTTGACGCAGTCGCCTCCAGTACACTGATTCGGCTCAAACAGTAGCAACGTCACCTCGCAGCTCAGCCGCTGGAAGACGATTGCAGCCTCCAGTAGGTACCGCTCCCCGCCTCCCGGAGTGATGTCCATCGCCGAGGACACCGCAGCGCGGCACGGCCGCTTGTCTGCCCCTTGCCGAGACAAGCGTGGCCGCCTCTGGAGCTGCGTCAGCCGAAGCAGCTCCGCGGACTGCGAGCCGAGCACCCTCTTCCAGCGCTGACACGAGTTGCCGCAGGGGGGAGCTTTAATCTCCGCTCGGTACCTTTGCTGCGCGGAAGCCAACTGCTCCGACGCTTTAGACGAGGGTACAGTGTCATCAAACGCCACTGCCACTGCCTGTGAACCATCGCAGCCAAAGCGTCGCTGCTCCAAGCGGCCATGTCTTCGCCAATGGGAGCCAATCTTCTGCCGACTGAGGGCGCAAGGAGGACACACGAACGCGTCACATGGCTGCACGCGTGGAGAGAGAGGGTGCGTGTAAGGTTAGGTGCGCGTGCCTGCGGTGGTCGCACTGTGATGCCTGCCCGTGGCAGTATCTCTCGAGGAGGTCTGGATACCGCTGCGCGTAGCACATGAGATGCTCCGCATTGCTCACGGCAAGCGGGAGCGGGCACGCGAACAACATACACACAACCGCGCCGCAGACGACGACGGAAACGTACGAGTTTCACGAACCCTCCCGTGAATATCACCGGCGGATTCAGTGTGCAGCGGAGAAGAGTGGGTCGAAACGAGACGCGTGTGTGCGTGTGCGCGCGCGTGTGTGCCTCTCTCTCTCTCTCTCTCTCTCTCTCTCTCTCTCTCTCTCTCTCTCTCTCTCTCTCTCTCACACACACACACACACACACACACTCTCTCTCTCTCTGTGCGATTAATCTTCAGTGAGGAGTCAACACATGCGCGTCGACGCGATCTCGTTGCCAGTCAAAGCGTGCTGATGCTGAGGCTCGAGCGCCCTCAGCTCCTCTTCTGAAACGGCCCGTAAATCTTCGCAAGCCTCTCGTTTGTGCACACCTTTTGGGGATCAAGGGTTGGGCGTGTGCTTCGAAGGCCGTGTACAGAGCGGAAGGCCGTACAGAGCACTGCAAGCTGCCTGCAGGTTTGGGGGCGGCTGCCTCGAGCAGTACTCGGCAAACATCACCTTGATCGTCTCGTAATTCTGGCGTGCCTCCCCCTTTCTGGCAGCATCCGACTTTGTGTGCTGATCCTCTTTCAGCTGATCCATCCTCGCCTGCAGCCCACGCAATTGAGAAGAAACTAGGGTGGCGGTGTCGTGAGCACGCGCGAGCGCGGCGCGAATGATTGATCGCATCTCCTGGGCCCATCAAAATGTGGGACGTGCGCGTGATCTGCCCACAGATAGACCACTACGCAGAGAGAAAGAAGAGAGAAAGGGCAAAGAGGCAAGGTCGGTGTGTGTGTGTGTGTGTGTGTGTGTGTGTGTGTGTGTGTGTGTGTGTGTGTGTGTGTGTGTGTGTGTGAGGCATCACCTTTCTGGCCGCAATATCCGTAATGGCGGTCAGCTCGTTGAAGATGTGGAACTGCTTGCAGGGCACAGACCAGTCGTATTGGCCGCCCGCCACGCAGAATTGAGAAAATACCTGTGATGCCAGTAAGTCGGATGCACGCCAATAAATGTTGGGACTGGCTTACGCCGTCACTGAGTTCACACCGGTAAAATAAGAGTTTCTTTCTCCCATTCTTCCACATCTTCAAACATACCGCCCGCCGAAGCTTGATGAGCTCCATAGCCTCGTTGGCCTCGCTCGAGGTCTTCATCTTGGTTGGTTGGTAGATATCGGGGACAGAGGCACGATTCGGGCGTTCCTGCGTCTGGCCTGAAGCCAGCATGCAGAGGACAACCAGCATTTCGCTGCTGAAAGGGGTGACGACAAACGCACTGCTTCCGTGTTTGCAGCGCCGAAACGAGCACCGCAACAAACAAAACGAAAATCAACGGCGCGGTCGACGATTGCGCTTGTGAGAAACAACAAATGGGGGCTCCGGGGGAGGGGGAGGACAGCGTGGCCTAAGAAGGAAGAAAAAAGAAAAATGAGCGCTGCCGGACGGCGCCTTTCTGTCTCCAGATCGCTTCGTTCGCCGCCGGTCGGGTCGCCCATGTGTGTGTGTGTGTGTGTGTGTATCGAAGACAGCGCAAACCGGTCTTTTTGCGCCACGCACCCGATGGCCGTGCTGGTCCAACTGCGTGCACAGGAATGCTATCAGCGCGTCTCCGCCATAACTGCGCGTCTCATGGCAATGAAGCAGCTGAGACGTGATAACACCGGTGCTGGGCCAAGGAGGTGCCGTTCACCGCCGATTGTTACGACTGACGTCGAAGGCGAGCGGCTCGTGGCGATCGTCGATCCGCGAGCTGCCAAGCTTGTCACAGGCCGGCACTGGATCGCGGACGATGGCGCCGCGCGGCTGGAGGCAACGGAGAAAGGCTTGGTGGAGCGGCGAGGCGATTCTTAGGAATTTCGAGGCGCGGGAAAATCCGACAGCCTCCCTGCAAAATCAAGTGTACGCTACTTTCGTTAACCACACTATGCGAGTACGGCGCCTTAAGGTGACTTGTAATCATGTAATGCTGCGCGCGTTTTCTTTAGGGATCCCTACCAACGGCGCCTTTGTGGCCTCGGTCACCTTGTAATAAAGGGTTGGACTCCTCCCCCCACGCTCGCGCCGGTCTCCGAAGCCGTACATCTGCGAGAGAGAGGAGAGCAGCTGCTTGCGCCTTTGTCGCCTACAACAGGAACTCGTCTTAGACCGGTCGCCCATGCAGGCTGGCTCCTGCGTGTGCGCCTTCGATCTCGTCCGCACGTTGACCGGGCGGCGCGGAGTGTCGGCGGAGTGTCGGAGCAACTCCGCTCTCTCGCACCTGACGGTGTCCGACGCCGGCGCCCACCTCAGCCGGAGCTTTTGCGCGCGCTGCTTCCTCGGAGTGGTCACCGAAGGCGACGGCGGCGGCAGCGCGTCGTCGCTGAGGCGCATCATGTACTCGTACCTCACCTCTCCGGGGCTGCTCGGTTTCGGAGGCGCGTGGCGAGGCGACCGCAGCGCGTGGGACGTCGTCAACGCAGCCAACGCCTCGTCGCCCAAGGTCGATCAGCCGATCGCCATGTACGTGGAGCCCGCAGACAAGTACGTGGCGGTGCGCGCCATCGTCGACCTCTACCGCCGCCGCACCGGCAGATCGATCCCGGACTCGCACGTCTTTTTCTTCTCCGACACGGCGGCGGACGTCGCGCCCTTCGAGACTGCCTCCGCCTCCGCCTCGCTGCCCCGCTACAACGCGCGGCAGGTCGCGTGCGGCGTGCGCGACCCGGACATGCCGGCCGCAGGCTTCTGCGGCGCCGCCCTCTCCGAGATAGTCGACACTCCGGGCGTCTCCTTTTGCGACGCGCCGCCGCCGCCGCCGCGCTCGCCGCTTCCGCCCCGGAGACTCGGGGTGGCCCCCGGCTTATCCTTCCAGGCCGGCCCTTCCGGTCTCTTGGTGCCTAGCCAATCGCCCCCCGCCCGGGTCTTGGTCGCCCTTCCGCTATCATATGCAGGGCGCTACCCACAAGCCCTCCCC